GTAAAGCTTATAGCTTGCTGTTTGGAGATCCAGCAAGATTAATTATATATGCAAACGATGGCATTGTTAAATATATGAAATCCTTTCATTCTAACACTGACCATTGCCATATCTTGGATTCCAAAGTATGTTTATAATGTTCTACAATTATCCTATGTAAGGAAGTAAATCCCATTAGACCAGCTAATACACCCACTTTTGCTGTATGGTATGAGCTGTTAGGACAGAACATTTCAATGCTCAATTCGGAAGCCAAAACAATTTGTCAGAATGCTGTTTGGCATGGATGAAGTTCCCAGCAATCACACAGCTTGGAAGAAACATTGCCTTCAGCCTCTTTATGATTTTGTGTGAATGTATGGAGAGAAATGATCTGGTCAGGATGACCATTATCTTGCAGGACAGCTTTGACATGCCCTAATTCAGCACCAAATTTGTACAGTGAATAAATGACTTGAGCACTATCGGCAGGGTTGTCGAGAAGACCAATCTTATAGCGTGATCCTCTTGTCCCAGTTGGCAGGGAAATTTGCCATCAGGGATGGGAACTTTAACAGCTGCTTTTCGAAGGAAAATTTGAGCACATGCAGGAGCCAATTTAGGCATGTAAGGAAATTCCCACATGTGGCTGCAGATTCAAATCTAGCAAATAGATCACCTACATGTGGGAAATACAAAAGATTGAGGAAATCCAGTGTCATTCCATTGAAGACATTTCTCATTTGGCCATTCATAGTGTTGTTGTACTGAGCCCAATGCTCAAATTGCTGGGTTTAGCAGTTGAATCGATTCTGATTTACTCAAATGATGGTGAGTCTAGATTGCCATGAAACAGTACTGCAGTGCTGATGTCTATGGCTTAGTTGAGTGGTACGGTGGGAAATAGGCTAAGAATGTCAAATCAACTCGTATACATTGCATTGTTATCAATTTATTTAAGTCCTCTGTGGCCTTTGTAGAGTTGAAAGGATCCTTCACCGTGCAAGTGGAAAATTTGCTCAAAACTGATTGTAGCAATCCACCCAATCATTTAGTAATTTCATGTTGTGCAGAACCAGTCATGGATAAGATGAGAAATAAAGGGAAATCACTTTAGTGTGCCCATTTGTAGAATTCATCTCCCACAGCTCAGCATAACATACATCACACAGCAGCTCATCGCTCTTCCAAATCCAGTGAGTTTTTATAAGCTTGCTTTTGAGTAAGGTTGTCCAGTCCTGCTGAGCACCAGGGACATAATTAGAAATTGCTGGAAAAGCTCAGCAGGCCTAGCAGCATCTGTGGAGAGAAATCAGAGTGAACGTTCCGGGTCGAGTGACCCTTCCTCAGAACTCAACAGGGTCAATGGACACGGATTTGGACCTGTCATTAACAAAATACAGAGCATTCTTAATGTAGGCATTCTTGTTGAGGTTGACTATTCTAGTCCTTTTTTTTGTTGGCTTTTACTGGTGGGTACGTCCAAGCTGATCTGAGGCCTCACAATGCTGCCAGACATACAAACAATCCAATTAACACTCTCCTCCCACACAGTATAAATACTGTTCACCTTTGTCGTGGTTCTTCTTGAATATTGTCCTGATAGGCGCAAGACAAAAACTGTCCATTTTCAGTCATTCTTAAGTTTTATTCTACCAAGTGACTATTTGTATGGAGATGGTAAATAGGAGCTCGTGCCACTGAATGGAAGAGTTATGAAATGCTCAATTTAAATCACCACTTAGATTATTTATTTCAGAAGATTGTGAAACTTGTAGCTTAATTTTAGCTACTGTCGATTCCAAACAGCAATGTCATGTGACAGGAGTGTGGGGATCACATGAATGTTTGACTGGCCTCTTAAAAGTAAGAAACCTTGGAATATTTGCATCTTGTCTCATTGTGACTGGAAACAGACTCCACTGGGAGCTTCATTGCTGGTTTGATATTGATTTCTGTGAGGTGTACATGGAGGATACTTGTCTGCGTTTGTCCCCTGACTGAGTAAACCGAATAACATTCACTCTGCTGGTACTTGAGCAATTTTGCTTTGCTCACTCATGTGATAAGTGTCACATTGACCTGTCTACCACTGAGGATTTTGTTGTGGTATGAAGTAATTTAAAAACAAAATGCAATTTTTAACACTATCAATTTTATTTCGGTGTAAATTGCTTTAAGCACATTAGTGTTCCTGTGTCATTATGTGAAGTGGCATTTACTCTTCTCCTGTTTTAAATCCCAGTTTGAATTTTAAGGCAGAAAATAATTTATTAATTTTTGAACTAATTTGTATTTACAGACTCCTGACTTAATTGGCTTTTAAAAATCAAGTGGCATGTGCTATTGATAAGGATGGAAGAATTGCGTTTAGAAAGCATCTTATCAGGCAGTGGATTGCATGGCCTTTTTAGATGCATTATATGTAACTGTTTCTCACAAGGCAATATCTGACAGCTGGTGACGAATTGAGTTAAATGAGTTACTCTGGTCCTTGGTGCTGCTTTAACGCCCAATTGTGGCCAGTTGCACAGGGAGAATAGCTTGTTCTTTTACGGTGATCTGGAGAGCTTTGACATTTATGACGATTATCAACAGGCATTGATATAGCACTTGGCTTGACAGCTTATCAAATGAACAACCACACCAACAATGTGGCACTCCCATGGTAGTCCAGTCAGAGGTGTTAGCCCAGATTGTGTGGCAAGCCCTTGAAGCTGAACTTTGAAAGTTGTGGCATCCTGAAGCAAGAGTGCACTTTCTGAGCTAAACTAGCAAAGAAGCAACACAAGTTTGTGTCACCATCTTTCCTGCATGATTTGTCTTGGTCTACTGTACACTTGCTCTACCACATGATAGACAGAATGAGAAATCTGCTGGCAAGCAATAGTTTCATTTTTTTTCTTCTTTTGGTGTGTCAATTGAAGCTGTTTTAGCAATCAAGTTCCAGGTTCTCCGGAGATGTTTGCAAGATGAGATGCTTAAATAACAAAAATCTCAAAATCTGTTCCCCTGGTAAAGATCAAAGTGCAAAAGTATTGGACTAAAAACTGTCCAGTAATCACAGCAGGAGTTTGCAGCCATAATAATGAAGGCACAGCTTGTGAAAGTACACCCAGGACCTGAATCTTGCTGGGAGTTTATTTCTTCATCGTTACATATGACTGGCACAGAAATTATTTTTGTTTTATTAAATAAAAACACATTGCTGCAAATTGTCAAGAGTTAATTTGAAATAATCCAAGAGTAACAAGTGTTTTGTGTTTAGAAGCTAGCTGAACACAGCAGAGGTGCTTTCATTGGCTTTAACACCCCCAAGGTGTTAGGGGAAAGGGGAGATTGGGTATTGCTGTGATGCCCCCCATGGTTAAGCAGCCTGCTGGCACTCCCTCTCTCTCTTAGCTAAGCATTTGAATGAAGCATCAGCCATTTGGCTGAGGCACTGGAAACCATCTGGCACCATAGCTGTGAAAAACAATGACGAAAGGTGTCAATACAATGGTTGGACATTTTTTATTGTTATGCGCCTGTTACTTTGGATTGTAGCTTTCCTCTCTTTGTTCACTGTCCAGCATCATCCATTAAGCTTTTTTAAAAACATGTCTTATTTAAGATGTAGTCACCAAGTATTAATCTACTTACTGCCAGCCCCCTGAAATTCAGTAGGTGCCAAAAATCTAATGAAGGTTTTTGTACCTTTTTTTTTGTTGAAAGTGCTCTGTGATTACTTAATTTGTTCCTGTGTAGTTTCTTGGTACTCATAGCGCCATACAGCATGGAAACAGACCCTTTGGTCCAACCAGTCCACACTGACCATGTTCCAAAGCTAAACTAGTCCCACTTGCCTGTGTTTGGCACTTGCCCCACTGTAGCTTGCATAGTGTGTGATTGCTAACTGCCCTGGATCCTGGTGGGTTCTGGCACAAGGGAGGGCCATCTTTGTACAGACCTGCTGACAGTCTGTTTACAATCGAGAATATGGCTCCTATTCGAAAGTCTATTTATTATTTACGCATGAGAGGTTCTTTTCAGCTGTTGGCTTTCTGCAGGTACCCAACCATTTGTATTTTAATTTAGTGACATATTAAACCTGACCATGTTATCTTGATTTCCTGATTTGTTTTTTTATTTAGATTTTTTTGTGTGTATGTGTGATGGGAGCCAACTGGGTGGGAAAATTTTTTTATTTTAAGAGCTTATTTTGGCTACACATATGTAGGAATTTTTTTTCTTGTCTCTCGTCCAACACAAATCACATTAAGTTGCATTTTTTTTTATCTGCGTTGCTTTGCGTGTGCTTGATGAGTTTGTCACCCTGATGGTTTGTGGCTGAAATTTTCTGAAGTATATACACTGTTTCCTAGGCCTGTCTCTCCCTCCTTTACATTCACCCTTCAGCAGTGCATCCTAATTAAAAACTAGAGCTTCTCTTACTGTCAGGATTTGAATCCCCTTTTTGTCTGACCGTTTTTTTTTTAAAAAGAAAAGTCTTAATCCTAAATACAGATCTGCCTTTTTTTAAAAAATCTGACAGCTTTGAAGCATTTTGGTTCTGGCTCCTCTAATTCAGTCAAAATGTGAGAGAGTTGACAGCTATCTATATTTATGGCCATGCTCTCCACTGGCTCCATATAATGTTGTAAGGCTTACTGATCAACGTTGGCCATTAAGAAGTGTGCTTGAGGGAGGAGTATGGACACACCTTCAATTATACTGCGAGTCACTTAGTTAAATGATGTCAAAGTACCACAAAGGGAGCTACCAATGAATTAATGAGTTACATGTTCCCAATTCCAGTGTAGTAGAGGCTGCTGGATCACGCACTGAACTGGTTATCAGACTGGCATCAAAGAATCTGTTATGAATATTCTGTTATGCAAGATGTATAATAACATACAAGTCAGTAACCTAGAGTACAACTGCCAATCCTTTGAAGCAAAAACTAGTCTAGAGATCAGGTTTACTGCATCAATGCATGAACCCGCATATTAGAATTGTTTTACTTAAATCCCAATCCTTTTTCTTCCTAGACTGAAATTGCAAAGAGACTGAATGTGATCTGTGCCCAGCTCCTTCCTTACTTATCACAGGAAGTAAGTGTGACTTTTAACAGTTGTGCAATGTGTTAATTTGTTTCATATTAATCTTAAATGTGAAAGTCTTTTTCTGGATAACTGGTTAAGTTTTAAGCATGTTTTCGCTTTCATTGATTTGCATTTCTTACAACTTGTAACACTTTTAAATTCTTCTTAATACAAAGCAATGGTCATATGAATGAAAGAAAAAAAATTTAGGTTTTACATAGTGTCTTTCACCATATCATGTCCCAAAGCCATTTACAGCCAATGGAAGACATTTTTGAGTTGAGTTAATGTTCTAATATAGGAAAATCAGAGCCAATTGCACGCAGCAAACTCCCTAAATAGTAAAAGGACAATGACTAGATAAATTGTTTTTTCTTGTGATGTTGATAACTATTTAGCTAGGATGCCAAGGAATAACCTCCCTGCTCCACAAAATAATACAGTTGGACCTTCTAAATCTCTCTGAGAGACCAGTGGGGGGACTTAGGCTTAACATTTTGTTGGAAATATGGGCAACACATCCTCAACACTGCACTCAAGAGTCATCCATGATTTTTCTGCTCAAGTCCTAGTGTGGGATTTGAAACCATGACCTTCTGAGTCTGAACACCAAATGTTATGACCATGAATGAAATGTGAGACGAAAGGAGTCTATAGTGTAAAGTTTCAAATACAGTTCTTGGGCAAAATGGCTAAGGGATGAAGGGAGGTCCCTGAGGTTATAACCTCGTCTCTGTATTTGCGGCAGAGATTTTTAGGTCTTCCTCAGTGTTTTGACAGTACTGCGTTAGTATGTACAACAGAAATAAAAAAAAGTACACTGTTTGCTCTTAAAACAACAGCTTGCATTGTTTGCTGCCAATGATGAACTTTTGTACATTGCAAGGTGTTTTCCATCCAGGGATATTGTATTTCTGAAGTTGTGATGTTGGCTGACTGGCACAGTCCTTTTAAAAACAGTAACCTTCCTGGTATGCATTGGGGAGGGTAAGGGCTGGTGATTGCGTGTTTCCGATGAGAAATGCTACTGGCAGCTAAGAGAATTTGACTTGTTGCTATCATCCGATGTGCGTTTTGAAAACCACTCATAAACATTTATATACTGGCCATGATTGGTGATTCTGTCTCCATAATGCAAATCATGAACAAGCTTCAATAAAGCATTTGATCCATTATTCCCTTCCGATTACTGATAGGAGTGAAGACCCCATTTATCTGATTCCCAAACATCTGGAATTCTCGTGAATCCCATCCAAGATTTAGAAGGGAAGTTCTGGATTCTTGGGATCCAGACAAAGGGGCCTTTTATCATTTAAACAGCCCCCGAGCAGATACCGGTGCTTCTGAAACAAGTTAGTAAAAACTGTTACACTTCGGTAACATCCATTGTACACAGTTGCTTCTTGGAGGTAAATTTAATCCTGTTACTCAGCTGTTGAACTGGTTTTATTCCAGCCACATCTTCTGAATTTCTTTCTCTGTATCTTTGCAGCATCAGCAACAGGTAATCCAGACCATAGAACGTGCCAAGCAGGTGACCATGGGCGAATTAAATGCTGCCATTGGAGTCCGAGGACTTCCCATTCTACCACCCCCAGTATGTATTACCCGTTAACAACGTTCATTCCACTTCGATTCGTGATACGTGAATGTGATAGACTTTGCATAATTGGACTCTCTTGCATGACAGCCTGCCACGTTTCCCAGACAATAATGTAAGTGATGGTAAACACAGCCACCATTCGTCTCCCACCTCCACCCTGCCTGGAAAGGAACTGATAACACCACCACCACACCCCCCACCCAGGATGATGGTAAAACTAAATAATCTCACCTATTTAGACTATGACATAACATCTTCCCAAAGTGGGCTCATGGAAGCCAGGAACTACTTTATCTGGAATATTTTGGGAACACTTCTGCTCAAACAAAAAACACTGCTTGGATATTAATTTTAAAGGCTGCATTTAGTGCTTATTAAGTACAGAAAGCGTTATATAGCATTATGAAGGGATTATAGAGACACCCGGGTTATACAGGGTGATGCAGCTGCTTTGGGTAGCCAGATTATGATGGTTTAACTTGCTTCAAAATGTGTCTTGTGAAAGACTGATATGCTGTACTCCAGTCTGGAAAAATTACTTGCTTTGGTGGCAATCTTGATGTTTCGTCGCTCTGTTTGTGTTATTTAACAAAGAAAACCCATATGTAAATGATGAGACTAGAGGTCTTTTTGTAATGTTGAGTTCAGTGGCAACTTGACGATGCTTTGTGCACATCCAAATGGTGGCAGTGAATGTGCTGGATTTTCCAAGGCCAGCAGCTGGGAAGAGCAAGTCCTTTCTTTGTATTTTTTTCAAAATTATTTTATTAGATCTCCCCAGCAGCTGGTCACACCAAGTCTGGCCAGCTGTGCTGTGATCGCTGCAAGTTGTGTGGACTTGCGTATCTGAAACTGGTGGCAACAGCAAACCTCTAAACTTCCAAATATGGGTTGGTGGCCTGATAATTGAATTGAAAAGCTATCCATCTCCAACACTGATGTACACAAAGTTCAGAATTAAAAGAAAGAGAAGTTAAGAGGTAAAATGTTTGGAAAGAGGGACTGAGGCCTAATGAGTTTGTTCCTTGTTATTGTTTGCATGCCCAAACCCACTTATTTGATAAGGCTGTGAGCATATGCACGCAAAGAGAAAGCCAAAGTTCTTAGTATGCGTGTGATGCTGCAGGAAATGTGCATTTAGAAATGTTTTTTAGATTTTAATATAATATTTAAAAAAAAAGCAGGGCTAATGCATTTCATTCCAAGTTGTCCCTCTCAGCACTGAATAAAATGGAGGCTTGGCTCCCAGTGCCAGCCTTCAGCAGTGATGTGCCTTTTGACGCTTATCAGCCTCTCTGAACGTGCTGTGGCCATCACATCCTGAGGTGGGACTTGATCCTGGACTTCTTGCCCAGAGGTAGGGGCACTGCATAAGACCCTTTTAGACATTTTCTATGTCTCCGTCATAATGAATGCAAGTTGTTATTGGCTGAAAATGATTTCCCTGCCCAGAAAGACCCATTCTTTTTCTGCTCTCGCTCTCGCTCTCTCTCGCTCTCACGCTCTCTGTCTGTCTCTCTGTTTTTCTCTCTCTCTCTTCTTTTGACCACGTTTTTGACGACTGTAGAGTTTCCATTGAATTGTGTGGACTCTTTACGAAGGGATTCAGTTTCTACTCTCTCAATTTAAATCTGCCTGCCCCTGTCCTTGAGGCAGCTTTTGCTTGTGTCAACATGCACTTCCCAGAATCAGTTTCTGGCCTTCGTGTGGCAAAAGGAAGTGAAATTCTCTAATGGCCTTTCTCCATGACATGTTCGTAGGTAAGGTTTGGGGTGCAGTTTAGAGGTTATGTTGAAGGATGGTTGGGGCTGTGTGTCTTTGTCTGTCTGTGTGTGACATTTGGAACACTGCCAACAGAGCGAGTGAGTTAGTTACATCCTCAAGGAGAACTATGTTTGTGTTATGGGAAATGTCACTTTGGGATGAGGTCATGGTACAAAGGTTATGTAGCTCGAAACAGTGCCTTGTGATCAGGAAGTGGCTTTACGGGATGGTGGCTCAGTGTATAGTACTGCTGCCTCACCACACCAGGGACCTGGGTTCAATTCCAACCTCGGGTGAATGCCTGTGTGGAGTTTGCACATTCTCCCTGTGTCTGCGTGGGTTTCCTCCGGGTGCTCCGGTTTCCTCCCTCCGCCCAAAGATGTGCAGTTTAGGTGGATTGGCCATGCTAAATTGCCCGTAGTGTCCAGTGATGGGTGGATTAGCCGTGGGAAATTCAAGGGTAAGGGGATAGATCTGGGTGGGATGTTCTTTGGAAGGTCAGCATGGACTCAATGGGCTGAATGGTCTGTTTCCACACTGTAGGGATTGTATGATATGAGCCGTGTTTGGGACTTCTTGCTGAGAGACCTACAAAAGCCCGTGACCACCCTGGAACAGCTCCTATTAAGACAAGCTATCTGGTGCAGTTCCTTGAGACCCCGTCAAACATACAGCAGTGGAAACAGGAAGGAAATTCCCAATCACTTGCTCCCCCCCACCCCGCCCCAACTTATGGAACAAGACACGTCCACTTTTTTGCTAAAGTTGTTGCTGATCAAATAGTTGAAGCAACTTAACAAAAAGCTATAGAAAGATGGTTATACTTTGTTAAGTAGAACCAATTTCTTTTAAAAATCTATTTCAAACACTTAGATTAAGTTGATGTATTTGAATACATCAACATTTAATTAAAATTGTAATTGAAACATTTGGAAAAGAACAATGGGTCACACATTTTAAATGATTCCTTATTATTTTAAGTTGGGTTCTTTGTCACAGAAAACCTAAATTAATTGAGCTATGAAATATTCATCACAGCTTTTAATATTTTAACCATCTATTTTTGTTAACGTTCTATTATTCACGAGGGCATCACCTGGGTGGATCGTGGCCTAGCGGTGTGGAGATTATCGTCATAGCTTGATCGACTGCTTTATTCTTGACTCAGACATAGCTGCTTGAAGATGTCCAAAGCTGACATTTGTAGGAGGGGTGTACTCTCAAACCTGCTGCCCTTGAGGAAAGAAATGTTGTGTGTTACACATTTGCCTCCTTCAGCTTTTCGTATAATTTATGCTCCCTCGCCTCTTCCAACATATTAAATGTTTGATGTGTAAGAGGCTGCATACCAGTAAATGTTGATAAGAACTTGGGATTCGCAAATTCGGATATCCGTTCACGTGTTCATTTCCACAAGGCCTGAGGGGCTGCATAGGGGTGGCAATCAGCTGTCAGGGGGACTGTCCAATTAAATTGGACGGAATCTGTACTCTGGGACTTCATCACGCTTTAAGCTTTCAGTACTTAGAATTCATTACTTCTTCCTGTATTCATGTCTCGTCCTGGTTTGTGGTTTGGCTCCACACTGAATCAGATTCAATTGTCTCTTTGGGTAGCTGTGGCCTGTTCTATATTAGGGAGGGTTCCCTCAACCCAGGAGGGACTAACGTCCGACTCTGGTGGTTTTCTTCAAAATTCTTTTATTGACAGTAAAGCAGATTCTGCCCTTCATGGTAAGTACATCACTCTGTTTACAGTTACGTTCCTTCTTTCTTCTCATAGTCCAGTACATGACTACTGCTGTTATCACCGTTAACATCGACATTCAGCATTGCTCAACACCCAGTCTGGGGAGGAGGAAGTGGACTGTAGCAAAGGACTATTTATTCTTTTTTTTTTAAATTTTGCAGCATCACACAGAGTGACCTTTTCCTGGTCGTTTGGTGGGATGTGTAATTTTGTTTTCCTACCCCAGCTAACCCTCTTGTAACTTTCAAACTCATGATCTCAACGCCATTATTCTCAAGGATGATGAGACTTGCCTCTGTTATTGACCAGTGGTCAAAAACCGTTTCCAAAAGTGAATATGGCAGAAATCTGAAATTGGAACAGTAAAAAGCTGGAAGAAAACTCGAGTGAGTCGGGCAGCATCTGTAGAGAGAAACAGTTAATGTATCAGGTCACACCTTTTTGTCTGTCAAAACTTTTGCTGGTGTCGTGTCCTGTATGATAGTATTTGGAAGCCTCATAGGAACCACACATGAATTATGGCACAGTAAGCAGTGAGGTCGTGAGGTGAGTGAGGGGAAAGAAATGATTTTGCACCCTTCCCAAATCTAAACTGCATTTTTAGTTTGGTCAGCTTTTGACTGACAAAATATGCAAAACCCGGTGTTTGCTGTTATCTGTGGCCTTTCTGCAAACATCTGAGCAATGTCTGCTAAGACTGCTTTTATGGCTAAGTGAATATGAATTCTTTTAATTGTCCTGAAGATTTCATTTGCCCAAAACATTGGGATTGTGGTAACATTACTGAATGGGAGCCTGCTAGTGTTTTGCTCAGAAGGTGGGAGGTGAGAGTTGAAACTTTCAATTTGCATGGCAGTTAACATTTGTGGTTGCAGTGTAACTGCAAAAAGCATTCTATATCTCCTGACTCGTGGCTTTTGGGTTTTGGTCCCAACGTGTCTGAAGGGCAGATGTCTGGCAGGGGACTCTTGTTTCTGCTGGTTCACACCGTTTCGTTTTGCATACTTCTTTCTCGTTCTAAATTGAAACTTGCTACTCCCCTATATCACAAATTGAAACTTCTGTAGAGAAGTCTGTTGGGAGGGGAAGGGTTGGGGCTGTGGTTCCTGGTGTCCTCTGTCCACCCCTCAACCGGGGGAAATTTCGCCAAAGCCTTGTCGATCACTAAAAGCTGGGAAAGCTCAGGAGATCAGGCAGCATCTGTGGAGAGAAATATATTGACACTTAATGTTTCAATTTAATGACCTATTTTTGGGCAAAAACATTTTGGCCTTCTGTCCTGCACAGTGGTGTTTGGAAGAGCCCAAGAAACCAACAGGTGGCTCAGTGGTTAGCACTGCTGCCTCATAGCGCCAGGGACCCAGGTTCGATTCCAGCCTTGGGTGATTGTGTGGAGTTTGCACATTCTCCCCGTGTCTGCGTGGGTTTCCTCCGGGTGCTCTGGTTTCCTCCAACAGCCCAAAAGTGTGCAGGTTAGGCAGACTGGCCATGCTAAATTGCCTGTAGTGTCCAGGATTGTGCACACTAGCTGGGTTAGCCATGGGAAATGTAGGGTTATGGGTGTAGGGTAGGGTACTGGGTCTGTGAGGGATGCTCTTTAGAAGGTAGGTGCAGACTCTATGGGCTGAATGGCCTCTATCTGCACTGTAGAGATTCTACGATGCCAGAATCAAAATGTGGCCCAGTAACTAATGTGTGGAGTAGTTGATGTCCTTGACAAAGCCAATATTTTCTGTCAAAGCCTTCGCTCTTCCCATCCTGTATGATGATA